GATTTTTATTTGCCAACTGAAGCATTCGATTTTGGGCCCTCTGCAATTGAAATTTAAGAGTCTTCAGTGTAGCCTCTCGTTGTTGCAAACTACGATCAACCTCAGCATTCTTCAATTCACTGGGCAAATATGGCAAGTGGAGTGGTGGACGCTGCCCATAAACAATTTCGTAGGGAGTAGCTTGAGCAGAGGAATGGAATGTGGTATTATACCACCATTCCGCAAGCGGTAACCAGTTGCTCCATGTAGCCGGATATTCATGACACATGCACCTTAAGTATGTTTCCAGACAACAGTTAACAAATTCAGTTTGCCCATCCGTTTGTAGATAATAAGCAGAAGAACGCAGCAAATCAACACCTTGTAACTTGAAAAGCTCATTCCAGAAATCAGAGAGGAAAACTGGATCACGGTCAGATACAATAGAGTCAGGAAGACCATGAAGCTTGAATAATTCATTGAGGTAGACTTGAGCTACCTGCAAATAGACATGTTCATGGGCCGGGTGGCCTGACGGGCCGACCCGACGGGCCGGCCTGGCCCGGCCCGACCCCCGGATGGGCTTGAATGTGGTTATAGGCCCGCGGGCTTAAATTCGGGCCAAAAAGCCCGGCCCGCAATAAATTCGAGTCGGGCTCGGGTTTTGTCAAAATAGCCCGGCCCGACCCGACCTAATATTATACTTAAAGTGATTAATGTGATTATGTCCATTTGAATAATTTTTTTGATTTAAGAATGTAAAACTGTGTTTTAAAATATAAAAGAAATGGGAAAAAAACCATCTTGTAGGCCCATTGTTCATTTAAATAGGAAAAAAAAACTATTTGAATTTTTAATTCTAATTTGAATAGGGAAAGTTATAGGCTCGGGCTCAGGCCCAAGTTATAGGCTCGGGCTCAGGCCCAAGTTATAGGCTCATTGGTCGGGCCGGGTTCGGGCTCGGGCCTAGCATATTTCCCTTAATGACAAGTGAAAGCCCGGCCCGAGCCCGGCCCATGAACAGGTCTACCTGCAAGGCAGTATAAGGATGTCGAAGGGCCATAAAATGTGCTACTTTACTGAGGCGATCTACTACAACTAATATAACATCCTTCCCAAAAGAAGAAGGCAATCCTTCAATGAAATCCATTGAAATGGAGGACCAGACAATCGCAGGTATGGGAAGTGGCTGCAAGAAACCAAGAGAAGCTAAAGCATCATATTTGCAGGTTTGACAATTTTGGCAAGCTCTTATGTACTGCTGCACATCTCTATTCATTCCTTTCCAGTAGAAAAGTGATTTAATCCTTTTCAATGTAGCATCTCTCCCTGAATGTCCCCCAAGTGGTGAGTTATGCATCCACTGCAAAAGGAGTTGTTTAAGTGCAGGGAAATCCCCAACAACCAGCTTGCCATTTCTGCGCAGCTGCTCATTACACCATGTATAACCAGGGTGGCTATTGGGCTGCTGCTGAATATCATCAATTTGAAAGAATGGTAGGATCCATCGTATGGACGCCAAAAAGGTTGCGGAATGGGTGGGCGAATTTCAAAAATTTCCTACCTTCTTCCAACTGGGAATCATATTCCCTAAATTTAGAATGCAATATTCAAGGATCCTACTTGAACCATAATCGAACCAGATCTAAACCAAAAGACAAGGGAGGAATTATACATGATCCAGAGAAGCAGTATCTCCCAAAGTTGGTGTTCACGCCCAAAGAGGACACCAAGATCCGCTCCTGCTCCATCGCCATCTTCAATCCAATTGAAGAGATTGGGAGAGCCGAACAGAGAGAACTCCATTGCCATCTTCCATCGCCGAACAGATAGTCGAAGCAACCTCCGGCGAGGTAAGACAACAGCTAAACCATTATCCTCCTCCTCCTTCTTCTTCTTCTTCTTCATTGAAATCAACGGCGAGCCGAACCAAA